CCTCAGCTTCCTTTTTAAGTGTCTCCTCCGACCTGGCTCTAAGTATGGGTGCTCCTTGGGGTCAGCCCATTTCTCCCTGCTTTTACCTTGTGGTTGGGTTCATGCTTTATAGCTGAGACTCCCCACTCTGCAACTGCACCCGGATTTCTCCCAGCGGCTCCGCTCCTGTGTCCGACTTCCCCTGGATATCTTTACCCATGTGGTCCAAAGCAAGCGCAGATTCCCCTTCAGTGCTGCCTCTCCTGGTGTTTCCTGTCTCACTGGTAATATTTCTACTCTCCTCTCCCTCACACCAGAAACCCAGATCCTCTCATGTTCCCTGTTTCTTGTTCTCCCCTACTCTCACCCCTCTCCTTAGAATCTGCCTCAGTTCCTGAGTGTCTTTCCTCCCAATGTGTGGTGGCCACCACTGCACTGTCTGAGTTTGGTCTGCATCTGGTCTCACAGAGTGATGAACTTTTGCTAGAACTCAGACCTTCCCAGGTTCCTCAGAGCTCTCCAGTGTGCTAATCCTTACTCACCACATGGTCGAAGACCTGGGGCCTCTCAGAGCCTGGGGCTGGGGCTCATCTAGATGCCAGACTGTGCTGCACACAAGCATCCGAGGGTTTCTACTGAACTGAAATTCCTGAAGTCCCCCAAATCAGAATGAATATCAATAGTATACTGTCATGATTTATAGCCCTGTGACGATAGGCTCACACGCCTATGTTTGTGTCTGACTTAGTTATAACCCTAAATTTTTTGGAGACATTTTTAAGAGACTTCTTTAACAATAAGGTTTATCCCCACCTTTATACTGAAAGAGAGTCTCACCTTCTTGTGCTGGATTTCTGCTTCATGAAGCAGAGATTTCTTATAATCATAGTTTGACAACTGGGGTTTTGATTTCTATTCTTTAAGGCTTTCTAAGTTTTTTCTGTTTTAACAAAGAATTATCTAGGAACTGGTTACTTAAGAACAACTTGCCAAAAAAGAAAAGGAATGTGTGGTGGTATAATAGATGTTAAACGTGTTCATTGTGAGAGGTAGGAAAACTTGGGTACGATGTTTCTTTTATTATCTTTAATTTTTATTTACTGCTTCAGTATACTTTGTGTGTGTGTTAAAACATACATAACACTTACCATTTTATCCATTTTATGCATGTACAATTCTACAGCATTAAGTGCATTCACATTTTTGGATTACTTCAGCATTCCTTTCCCTGCAGTCATTATATTGAAACAATATAATATTTTCATGAGTAAAAGCCAAAACTGTGGCTGCACCAAATAAGCAGAGTTTCCCTAGTTTATGAGTGTGTTGTAAGGAAAATTATTTGTGTATTGAGTTTTGCTAAGGAATTTGCAGCATAACTGATGTTCTTAGGCTTGGAGAGAAGTGTGTCAGTGGGGATTAATGGAAACAGGTTTATTTAGCTTACATGAGTAAATTTTTATAATTTTAGTTTAATAAATGTTTAAAGAGGTAAAACATTTTACTGTAACATAAAAAGGGTCTCATTTAATTATGATTGGTGTCCTACTCCTAACAGTGGATGAGCAACAAGTGTTGTACAAAATAATGAAAATCCCCAATATCTAGCCATTTCTGCCTACTATTTCAAAATGATTTCTAAGATTAAAAATGAGCCTATAACATGGGGTTGGATAGAAGTTATCTTTGGGATAGTGCTTATAGGTAAATGAATGACTTGTGATGTTTTATGAAAGAATAAAATATGTATCTTTTCTGATTTATAAAATGGTTCTTGATACTGGTGATTAAATCTTTTATAAAATATTCATTTAATTTAAGAATACAGTGGATCAAAATGTGGTGTTATCTGGAATGTTTAGACTCAAACTCCATTTGGTTTATTTGAACTTGTTTAATTGTGATCCCTCCATGGGAAATGTTAATTTGGAAACTTCAACGTGGAACGATAGGAAATAGGACAGGGCTGGAGATCTGAGTAATTCTTGCGCTGTGCACAACACAGCTAACTTTGTGTTTCGGGGACAGAGGTGTCACGGGATATGCTGCTCACCCCTGGGGACTGCAGCCTGGTTTGTTGTTCTTGTTCCAAGAGAAATGCAGAAAATGGAGCAAGGGGCACCAGATAGGGTCTTCAGCCTACTGTTTTCATTCAGAGTGAGGAAATTTAGCTTTGAGAAAATGAAAGATCCTTCTACTTTATCAAAATCTACTAGGTAGATGTTTGTTAGGACCACTGGAGCCTTTTCAGCCGTCTGCTTAGCCAGAGGCCGAAACAAGCACACCCAAGCTGACGATGAGACTGCTTCTCTTGGAACGTGCCCAGAGCACCTGCCTCTCTGGGGCACGGAAAGCAGCAGTGGAGCGCTCCATTCCTTGGACTGTTTCAGCCTGTTCGTCTTAACCGCTCCTTTCCCCTGAAAATCGGGGGGGGGGCTGAGTCATGGCCAGGAAGAAGGCCAGGAGGTTTGGGGTCGTCCACCCCCCGTGTGCCTTGAACCTTCCCCAGCATATTTTAATATAAATAACCTTGGCCCTCCGCATCAGCAGACAAGCCAATTACTTGTTCACACATGCTTTGGCCAGGTTTTCTCTCATTTGGGGCCTTGTAATAACTGGATGTTGTCCTTTGTGAGATCACAACTTAAGAATCACATCTTTTCCCCAGGTTCCAGGTTTTTGCTCATTTGGGGCCTTGTAATAACTGGATGTTGTCCTTTGTGAGATCACAACTTAAGAATCACATCTTTTCCCCAGATTCCAGGTTTTAAGGCATTTTGGGATAAGTTTTATAATTTTGTAGGAATTGCAGGTCAAGGCAGGATGTAAGCATTATGGGGCAGGTGGATTCTTTTGTGGACTTGATAAAAAAAAATTGTTTCTCAATTGAAGGCTTCTCTTACTAGGGGAAGCCTTGATTTAAGAAGATGTCACAAAGCAGAGAGGATGATGGGAAAGCTGCTGATGGTGATGGCAGATGCATTGGAACACAGGACCCTGGCTTCCCATTTTAGGCTTGTGAGGAACTGTTGCGGATTTTATAGTCCTGCCAACAAGAATTCTATTTGGAACATAGTCTTTTTACACAAAAATAATTTTTTAATCTGAAAGATCTCAGTGGAAAAGGCAAATCAAACAGTTAGCTTTAAAAGTGGAGTCATGGGGGCCTTGGATTTAGCTCAGTGCTTCCGGCGCCTGCCTCGCAAGTGCAAGGTTCCGAGTTCGATCTCCGGTATGAAAAAAAAAAAGTGGAGTCACAGTCTCATTTACCGTTGCAGTTCAGTCTCTCATTATTTTACCTGGTGGATGAATCCCATTCCAGCCTTGCCGTAGGTGCCTGCCTAGCGGGTGTGGAAGAATGCCTAGCGGGTGTGGAAGAATGCACACAACCTGTGATATTTCTGAGTGTGATTGTGATGAATTTAAATGGGTCCTAATAGAACATGTGCATATAAACAGCTGAAGAGTTAGGGCAGTTTTTTAACTTAAGGGTGAAGGCATTGACCACTATGGGATAATTAAAAATCGCACCTCTTTGGGAAAGCAGGAGCTAAGTTGCCAAGTGGCAGGGCATGGAGAAGCAATATTCTATACTCTAAATTGGGGGGGGGGCAATTTATATCTTTGTCACTTGGATCTGATACACTTTCGAGTCAATGAATCATCCCACCAGCGTCACAGAACTAAAGCAAATTTTGTTTCCTTTTTGCAGGCAGGGCTTTAGCCAATTGGATAATAAATCACTTTGCTTTTCCCAAGTCATAGTACAGGAAGGCCCAGTTAAATGGGCCTCTGAAAGATTCTGCCCTGTTTTAAGAGTACCAGCGGTGCTGTATTTCCTGTGTATCACTAGTGATTTGTCTTCAGTATTCAGAAGTTGAGGATGAATTCAGTTCTTGTAGCTCCCAGGACCTTGGCCAGGGTCTGCCTGTGTCTCCCAGTGGTGGTCCCAGACGCATGTCATATGCTCTTCTTCCTCCCCAGGAGCAGCCTTGTACACACTTAACTTTATGAAGAACGGTCAGGAGCATTTTCTCTTTTGAGTCACACAATAACAACATATTATGTATGCAGAGTACTAATTCCTGTTTGAAAGCAGAAACTAAGATTCAGTGAGGTCAAGTGATTTCCCCAAGGTTGTATTTCCAGTGAGCGGAATACTAGCAACTGGAGCTAGTTACTTTTTAAATGAATGCATGTTAGTCATGCAGAGTGATGGGTTTGTTTTGGCATGTGCGTACATGCACACAACATGTTCTGATCTTTCCACCCTGCTTCCCATTTTCCTTCTCACAAGTTATATTTAACCTAAGGACAATGCCCTTAGATACTGTGCCACCTCTTTCGAGTGCAGATAAAATAGGGCACTGTAAATGTACATTAAGATGCTTTGGGGAAATTTGTGTGTGAGAGAAGAATTTGAATTGATAATGTGGTTGGGTTCATTATTAAATCTAGTAAAAGGTCGAAACAGAGGAACGTGTAAAGAAGTATGCAGTTTGAAGCGGCACCTCTCAGATGTCACTGTAAAGGAACTCACATACCAGGTAGGGTGGCCAGTCCAGGACGGACAGGAAGTCCCTCCTGTTGTGTTCTGAGCATTCAGAGGACCCAGCCTGGATTCTGCAAGGGCATGGGTGAGAGACCCACATTCACTCAAGATGTCAAGCACCACCTGGCAGCTTTAGCCTGCGTATGATCTCCTGGTTTCAGCAGGTGCTGTTTGATGTCCTGTTGGAAGGGGTTCCTGAGAACTCTGCTGGAATAAACAAGACCAGTGATATGTGTGTAACGCTTTCTTTTAACTGAAAGGACATATGAACATTTGCAAAACAAGATTCTGTCAGCCTGATCATAACAAATCTGTTAGCAGTGCCCTTCTTCTAACACAGCGAAGGGTACCTTTTCAGGCCTCTGTTCACATAGTCACACTTGCTGGGGTTGTCTGAGGAGTCCCTAGAGTGTTTCCACGTGTGTTTATTTTTTAAGAGCTTGATTCATTTTTGCCAATTGCTTTACAGGATCCCTCAAACCAAAAATGCAGTGGGAGGAAAAAGACGGTGTCCTTCAGCAGCATGCCCTCGGAGAAGAAGATCAGCAGTGCCCATGACTGCATCAGCTTCATGCAGGCCGGCTGCGAGCTGAAGAAGGTGCGGCCCAACTCGCGCATCTACAACCGCTTCTTCACCCTGGACACCGACCTCCAGGCACTTCGCTGGGAGCCCTCCAAGAAAGACCAGGAGAAGGCCAAGCTGGACATTGCAGCCATCAAGGAGATCCGGCTAGGGAAGAACACAGAAACATTCAGGAACAATGGGCTCGCAGACCAGATCTGTGAGGACTGTGCCTTTTCCATACTCCACGGGGAAAACTACGAGTCTCTGGACCTGGTGGCCAACTCTGCAGACGTGGCTAACATCTGGGTGTCCGGGTTGCGGTACTTGGTGTCTCGTAGTAAGCAACCCCTGGATTTTATGGAGGGCAACCAGAACACCCCACGGTTCATGTGGTTGAAAACAATGTTTGAAGCCGCAGATGTTGATGGGAATGGGATTATGTTGGAAGACACTGCTGTTGAGTTAATAAAACAACTCAACCCTACCCTGAAGGAATCCAAGATCAGGTTAAAGTTTAAAGAAATCCAGAAGAGCAAAGAAAAATTAACCACCCGAGTGACCGAAGAGGAATTTTGTGAAGCTTATAGTGAACTTTGCACTCGGCCAGAAGTGTACTTCTTACTCGTGCAGATTTCGAAAAACAAAGAATATTTGGATGCCAATGACCTCATGCTGTTCTTAGAAGCGGAGCAAGGGGTCACCCACATCACTGAGGGTATGTGCTTGGACATCATTAGGAGGTTTGAGCTTTCAGAGGAAGGGCGTCAGAAGGGGTTTCTCACCATCGATGGCTTTACTCAGTACTTATTGTCACCAGAATGTGATATTTTTGATCCTGAGCAAAAGAAGGTTGCCCAAGATATGAGCCAGCCCTTATCTCACTACTACATCAATGCCTCCCATAACACCTACCTAATAGAAGACCAGTTCCGGGGCCCGGCCGATGTCAACGGCTATGTCAGAGCTTTGAAGATGGGCTGTCGGAGCATTGAACTGGATGTGAGCGATGGTCCAGATAGTGAGCCGATCCTTTGCAATCGAAATAACATGACCACACAGCTGTCCTTCCAGAGTGTCCTGGAGGTGGTAAATAAGTTTGCCTTCATTGCTTCTGAGTACCCACTCATCCTCTGCCTGGGAAATCACTGCTCCCTGCCCCAGCAGAAGGTCATGGCCCAACAGATGGAGAAAGTCTTTGGTGATCAGCTCTACACAGAAGCCCCCTTGCTGTCTGACTCCTACCTCCCGTCACCAGAGAAGCTGAAAAGGATGATCATCGTGAAAGGAAAGAAGCTGCCTTCTGATTCTGACGCGCTGGAGGGAGAAGTCACAGATGAAGATGAAGAAGCTGAAATGTCTCGCAGGATGTCCGTGGAAGACAGCGGTGAGCAGAAACAGATTTGGCTCTGTCGAGAGCTGTCTGATTTGGTATCCATCTGTAAATCTGTCCAGCACAGGGATTTTGAACTGTCTATGAAAAACCAGAGCTATTGGGAAGTTTGTTCATTTAGTGAAACAGGGGCCAGCCGGATTGCAAATGAATACCCGGAGGATTTTGTGAATTACAATAAGAAGTTTTTATCAAGGATCTACCCAAGTGCCATGCGGATCGATTCCAGTAACCTGAACCCGCAGGACTTCTGGAATTGTGGCTGTCAGATTGTGGCCATGAATTTTCAGACACCGGGCCCAATGATGGACCTGCATACGGGCTGGTTCCTTCAGAACGGGGGCTGTGGCTATGTTCTGCGGCCATCTGTCATGCGCGATGAAGTTTCTTACTTCAGCGCCAACACAAAGGGCATTGTGCCTGGAGTGTCTCCTCTGGCCCTGCACGTCAAGATCATCAGTGGCCAGAATTTCCCAAAGCCCAAGGGAGCATGTGCCAAAGGGGATGTCATCGATCCCTACGTCTGTGTGGAGATACATGGGATCCCAGCGGACTGTGCCGAGCAGAGAACTAAGACTGTACAGCAAAACAGTGATAACCCTATTTTTGATGAAACTTTCGAGTTCCAAGTAAACCTTCCTGAGCTGGCCATGATCCGCTTTGTGGTTCTGGACGACGACTACATTGGGGATGAGTTTATAGGGCAGTACACCATCCCGTTTGAATGCCTGCAGCCCGGATACCGGCACGTCCCCCTGCGCTCCTTCGTGGGTGACATCATGGAGCACGTGACCCTGTTTGTCCACATAGCAATAACTAATCGGAGCGGTGGAGGGAAGGGGCAGAAGCGCAGCCTCTCAGTGAGAATGGGGAAGAAAGTCCGGGAGTACACCATGCTCAGGAACATCGGTCTCAAAACCATCGATGATGTCTTCAAGATAGCCGTTCATCCCTTGCGAGAAGCCATAGAGATGAGAGACAATATGCAGGTAGGAGAATGAGCCCACACTCCTCCTTCCCTTCTCATCCTGCCCTTCTCTCAGAAGGGGACACTGTGCTGTATTCACGACACCATTGGTAGGATGTGACCACAAATGTTGTGTCAACTACAGATTGCTGAAGTGTACCCAGTGGTGCCTGGGACACAGCAGATTCGTGCTTCTAATCATGAGCACAGTGGGTAGTTCGGCTTCACCTAAGCCAGTTAAAAGGAGAATCAACGTAGTAAAATGCTGCATGTACCTTAGGCATCCTTAGTGCACAGCAGAAGTGATATGTGCAGTGAGACAGAGCACTGTGAAGAGTGAAGACCTGTATGTGACATAAGATGTGTAGTCAAACACACTAATCGCAAGTGTATGTGTAAATGTTTGCAGATGTGAACATGGAGGATAATTTGAAGTCAGGACAAATGGTAATACCTGTTAAGTTTGTTTTTTAGTTGCTTAAATGTGTAATAATAAATTAGTATCCACAAGAACAAACAGAATTCAGCAATTAAATTTGCTGAAAATGATTTAGCCCTCTAAGAAATGCAGTTTAACTGAAAGAACATGGGCTCTGGTTACAACTGTGTCAGTGATCCAGCATCCTTTGGTTTAGTCTCTGATAACATCAGTTTTCTCCACATAAGGTAGGAGAAGTAGTTACACTTACACAACAGGGTCAGTATGCAAATTCGGGGAGAGCGTGTGAACACAGCCTGGCTCACCAAGGAGGAGTCCAGGGCTGGTGTCCTGCTACTCATGAGTGTGAATGATCAGCTGCTCATGCCTCTCACCCTGTCCAGGCCAGTTTTGCTGTCAGAGTGCAAAGCGAACACTACCTCATTCACGTGTTCCTTTAGCTAATGTGTTCTGTAATGGTCCTCAAAGACCTCTACATTCAAGACAGCAAATAAACTTGAGGAGGTTCAGTAATTTGTCAGATATTGCACTGAGTAAATAGCAGTGTTAAACTTTCTGTCTAGGAGGGCCTAACATCAAAGCATGGGGTGCAGAGCCACAAACCTATGACTTAGGGAAAACTTTTTTGTTATATCACTTTGACAGAGAAATACTGGAATAGGCTTAAAGTAGATTTTAAATAGCCCAAATTGTAGAGGACAGTCATGTACATAAATCAGAGTTGGAATGTAACTACTTGCTTTAAGGTGTGTTGACTTATCCACTATTTTAAAATAGGCTCCAAATATCAGCCTCTTCTGTGTGGCATTTTCTGATACCATTTTTGGACAGTTGTATATCCTTATATTAGTTAGTCATAATTTCAGTATATAACTTTATATAAGTACATTTTATATATTTCTATATGTTTCTTTAAATATGTCCTTTATATCTCTTACATATTTAGAAAATACATTAAGAAGAACTGGTTGTAAAGTTTTCCCAGGAAGTACTCATAATTTATATATCTTACCATGAAGTATTTTGGGCTAAGGATAATTTGGAGCCTAATCATTGGAAAAATGAATACAATCATTGTCATTAAATTAATGGGATGCTTGGTAGCTAGATACTATTCAGTTAATAAAATGGGAAGCAGTCATAATTCCCACTTAAGATGATTTCTTGGGCTGTAGTGTGGACAAATGCAGCTCTGCGTGAAGTGTATTTTCAGTGTATGTGCGTGTGTGTGTGTGTGTGTTTGTGTGTGTGTGTGTCGCCTCTGGGGGTGACAAGCACTGGCACCCGTGGCTGCTTCGGGCCCAGAGGGTGAGCAGCTGCACCAGGCTAGGGGCAGCGCCGAGGGGGACGTCTGCAGTGGCCTGGACGCTGCAGACCAGTGAGATGCGAGCTGCTCTGGGTCTGCTCCAGGCCCCACGGCCCGGCCTCCGCCCGCTCGGCTCCGGCTGTGTGCTTGAGGGTGAGGATGGAGTCCGTGTTGTGATGGCAAGCGCCCTCGGCCCGCGCCGGCCGCTGACCTTACTCTCTGCCCGCAGAGCGCCATCGTGTCTGTGAAGGAGCTGTGTGGGCTGCCGCCCATCGCCAGCCTGAAGCAGTGCCTGCTCACGCTGTCCTCGCGGCTTGTTGCCGCTGACAGCAGCCCCTCCGTTGTGCTGGCGATGAGAGACACCTTCCCATACCTGGAGCCCCTGGGCGCCGTTCCCGACGTGCAGAAGAGGATGCTGGCCGCTTATGACCTGGTAGGAGGGCCCCTCGGTGTGGACTGTGTGTGCACGGGGTCCCCAGTGGGGCCCACGTGTGGAGCAGCCACCTGTGAGCCTGGCCCACTCAGCTCCACGAGGGGTCCCGGGATCCACTGCATGTGGCAGAATTCGTCTTCATGGGGTACAAAGCTTTGCTCTTCCCCGTAAGAATCAAGGGAGCCCTTGTCCAGGGCAGTATTGGCAGCGTGTATAGGGAGCCAGGCCTTGTTCTCTGCGTCCCCATCTGTGGTATGGCCCTTCTACTCATGGCCTGTGCTTGCTGCCAAGGCTCCAGCTGTAACATCTGCATTCCAACTGTCTGGAACTTTGAGGAGGAGGACATGTCCTTTTGCTTTAGGCACATTTCTCTGAAGTAACATATAGGCTCTGCCTGTATCTCACCATCTGGAATTGACACATAGCCACACTTAGTTGCAAAGAAGGAATATGCCATTGCCAGAGGACACGTGTGTGAAGTTGTCACTTCTGGTACTCGAAGTGAGAGAGAATGGATGAGACAGGGCACAGTGTGCTTCAGAGGGGAACAGGCGACTTGCCCCTTCCGCCTTGAAAAACCATAAACATGTGAAGAACACTTAATCTTAGGATAGGTTTTTAGTTAGAGAAGTTAAAGAAGCATGGTAAGCCAGGAGCCAGGGTGTCGCCTGACCTTAGCAGCCCTGGAGCTGGGGCAGAAGGACTGCTGGAAGCTGGCCTCCCTCGGCCACATAGCGAGACCCCACCTCTAATAAAATTTAAAAGGAAGATATGAGTAAAAAACCCTTCCATCACATTGGCACATTGCTTTTTCTTTTGAAACCTGGTTCCTATGATCGAGAATTTAAGGAAAGTCTATCTACCTCTAGTGGGAAAACAAATGGCTAAGTATGTGCTTTTAGAGAAAAAGTTGACAGTATAGCTCAGAATATTTGTTAACTGTATCTGGATATTTCCTTTTAGGACTTATTCTAAGACAGCAGAGATGTGAATATTTATTTTTAACGTAACAGTATTGAATGTAACGCTCCATATATTCCTTTGAAATCACAGACAGCGGTAGAGGGATGTGTAATGACAGAGAAACCCTGCCATCCACTTGGTGCCAATGTCACGTGACAGACCCCAGGCATGAGAGGCAGGGACTGTGTTCTGTGTGCACCTGCACCGCGAGCCAGGCACCAGCGCCACCTGCTTCTGTGCAAGGAGAGGGAAGAATCAGCATCTCCCCTGTGCTTGCCAAACTCTTTACAATGACTCTGCCATTCTGAGAATAGCAGTGATGCTAAGAAAAAAAGACGAACGCAGCGTTAGAAACCACCCTCAAGGCGAGTGGGTAAAGTGTCCCTGTGCGGGTGCGGTGGGGGTCACCTCGGGCCTGAGTCTCTGTTTTCCCGAAATCGATGATTTCATCATGAAAGCGGGCATTAAAAGCTGTTTGGTGAATAGGTGTAATTTCCATCTAAGAGGTGAAATTAGGGTCCCAGTTGCCATAGAGACAGACAGCTGAAATCACTTCTTCCCTGGAGAGAGAGCGAAACCCACTGGGGGCGCGGTCTGCAGTGAGCACTGGGCTGGGCGTTTCCGGCTCACCCCACTGACAGCGCTTTGTCTTCTGTGTCTGTTAAAGCCAAGCCCGAGTGTGTGCCTTCTCCTCGTCTGTATTGTTACATGAGACGTGCAGTGCAATGTGGTTTTCCACAATTTAAAATAGGCTGCTGTGGGCAGCAGAAACCCTTCCGATGAGGCCTGGATTTGGAGTTGCCACGTACACGAGGCCTCACTCTGGTAAGGGGTGGAGGGTAACTGTCCCTGTGCCCAAGGACGGCAGCCCTGGAAGGGGACTCCACCTCCACATGTTAGGGCTGCCTGGTGCTTGGTGGTGTCATTAATGCTCGTGGTGAGTCCGTGTTAGCATTTACTGCAAAGGTTCTCCGAAGATCTTGCGAAGATCGAGACAGACAGATCCTGTCCCTTTCCTCAGTTCAGCAAGAGCCCTCATCATCAAGAAATTAACAGTTAACACCAAGTACTGTCGAGGCTACAGGAGAAGGGGACCTTTTGCACTGTTAGTGGGTGTAAACTGCTACACCCACTGTGGAGGCCAGAATGGAGATTCCTTGGAGCCCTAACACAAGAAACGCCATCCAACCCAGCTATTCCCCTCCTAGAGTTCAAAGTCATTGGATTACACCAATACACAATACCCATATTTATAGTAGTACAACTCATAATAGCCAGACCTTGGAAGTGGTCTATATGTCCATCTACAAAAAATGTGGTATTCACACACAGTGGAGCACCACTCTGCCCTAAAGAAGAATAAATTTGAGTCGTTCGCAGGCAGACTACAGGGGACAGCAGAGAAGTCAGTCATTGTCAGGGGCTCGGGACTGGGGTGGTGAGTAAGTAGGTGGGCACAGAGAGGCTGTGCAAGGGCCCTATGCAGTGTCATAGTGGGCATGTGTTTCATTACACACAGCATCGCACACTCACCAGAACTCCTGAGTCCACTCTAATGCACACTGGGACTTGGCTCACTGCTGCAGCGGTACTGTCTGATCGAGCATGGTGATTGCTGTCAGGAGTGGGCCGGTGGGGGACAGGGCATCTAAAACACTGACAATCTGTTATTAATGAGCTGGGTCGGGATGGATGGGCCCATTGCCTGGTGGTGGTGGGACAAGGATCCGCAGCACACAGGGCGGGCCACATGGATGGTGCTCCTGCCTGCTCAGGGTTCTCAGAAGTGAGGAAGCCCTGAAGAGACTGCACCCACCTGGAGAAAGTGCAGCCCCTGCACATGCAGACTGTTCAGGGTGGAAAAGGACTGAGGGCCTTTCCGAACAGGCAGGGCTGGGTGCCGCCAGGACCGGAGTGCAGACGCCACCTCGCTTGCATGGATTGAGAGGCCCCTGGCGAGCCTGAAGGTGCACAGCTCCAAAAGGGAGGGAAAAAGAGCATGCTCTTGAAAATATTGATCCTGGGTTTGTCTGTGCAGATCTTTATGAAAATGTGACTCATGCTAAGGACCCGATGTAGCTACTACTCAGTACCAAATACTTACTCAACTAATAGCCAGACATTCTTCCTGTCCTAAAACTCATTGTAACATGCGTGGTGCAACTTCTTTTCTGCCATAGCAAGCTGTGTTGGTACCAATTAATAGGAAGCCTGGTGTCTGTGAAGCAGAACAGGCCAGTTTTTGTGGTGTGGGGAGAGGACTGGGGCAGACTCAGTCATTCCACCACCCCACACAGCTCACATTTCCTATCTCAGCCTGGTTACTGGAATTTCAAAATTACCAAGTCTTTTGTGTCCAGACTTCTCTTTTTCTAGAAGCTTGAGGTTCAGCATCAGGTTGTTTAATTGGGCTCGCTCTGTTTTCCTAATATGTGTATTCGCTGCTATGAATTTCCCTCATAAGACTGCTTTCATTGTGTCCCATAGATTCTGATATGTGGTATTGTCATTGTCATTTAATTGGAGAAACTAATTTCTTCTTTAATTTCTTCTGTGAGCCATTGGTTATTCAGAAGTGTGTTGTTCAATTTCCATGTGTTTATGAAACTCTTGTGGTCTCTTTTGCTATTGATCTCCAATTTCATTGCACTATGGTCTGATAATATACAGGGGATAACTTCAATTCCTTTGCACTTCCTTAAACATGTTCTATGACTGAGTATGTGGTCTGTTTTGGAGAACAACCCATGTGCAGCTGAAAAGAATGTGTATTCTGATTTGGTGGGATGGAACACTCTGTAAACATGTTAAGTTCATTTGTTCAAGAGTTCAATTGATTTCTAGTATTTCATTACTTATTTTTCATCTAGTTGATCTATCTATTTGTTTCAGTGGGTTATTGAGGTCCCCCACTACTACTGTATTAGTGCATATATGACTTTTCATGTCCGTTAGTATTTGTTTTATATAGTTGGGTGGACTTGTGTTTGGTGCATAGATATTTATGATTGTCATCTCTTCCTGTTGGATTGTTCTTTTTCCAAGGATGTAATGTCCTTCTTTGTCTCTCTTAATCAGTGTTGATTTGAAATCCACTTGATCTGCAAAGAGGATAGATACTCCTGCTTTTTTTCGGGTTCCTGTTGCATGGAGTATTGTTTTCTACCCTTTAACTTTCAGGCTATGAGTTTCTTTTTGAATTAGTTTCTCATAAGCAGCATATTGTTGGATTTTGCTTCTTGCCCCATTCTGCCAGTCTGTTTCTTTTGATTGGTGAATTGAGACCATTAACAATGATGGTTATAACTGGTACATATTGATTTATCCTTGCCATGACTTTTTCTTTTCATTGGATTCTCCCCCTTTGCATTTCATTTCTTGTCATGCCCAATGGATTCATTCTGCAGGGCTTCCTGGGGTTGTGATCCTCATTTTCTTTTTCTAGGATATTGTCTAAAATTTTTTGGAGTGCTGGTTTGGTATTTGTGAAGTTCCTAAGGTGCTCTTTGTTATGAAAGTATCTTATTTCTCCATCAGTTTTGAAAGATAGTTTTTCAGGGTACATCAATCTGGGTTGGAGGCTGTTTTCTTTTAGGGCTTGGAATATGTCACCCAAGCTCTTCTTGCCTTGAGGGTTTGCGTTGAGAAGTCTGCTGTGATTCTGATGGGCTTTCCTTTGTATATGGTTTTTTTCTTTTCTCTAACTGCTCGTAGAACTTTGTTCTTCTGTTGGGTTTCTGGAATCTTAACAATTATATGCCTGTGTATAGATTTTTTTTGGTCAAGGCTATTTGGAGTCCTATATGCCTCACTTATCTTTATGTCAAGTTCTTTTCCCCTCCTTGGGAAGTTTCCTGGGATTACTTCTGTGAACAGGTTTTTTATGTCATCTGCACTCTCTCCTGTTTCTTTGTTGACACCGATCAGTCTTATGTCATTCTTCTTTGCATCGTCTAGCAGCTGCTGGATTGATTTCTCATGGTCCCTCACAATTTTGAAGCAATTTTTCTTTTCCTGGTCACTAATTGCAATCTTTT